TTGCTCGAACCTGGGAGGCAAAGGTTGCAGTGAGCCGAGATTGTGCCATTGAACTCCAGCCTGGGCAACAGATCAAGACTCTGTCTCAAAAAAAAAAAAAAAAAAAAAAAATCACAGGGTGGGTGTACACACCATTCGAAATTGGGAGTAATATCATCCTCTTTTCGCCTGAATATTAGGAGCCACATAACAGGAAGCGTGTACGTCCCCTGCAATATTGAAAGTAATAATCATCCTCTTTCTTCATGGATATTAGGAACAATATCACAAAGGTAGTGTACACCCCCTTTGATATTGGGAGTAATATCATCCTCTCCCCCGATGGGTATTAGGAACAATATCATAGGGTTGTTGTACACCCCTTGCGATATTTGGAGAAATATCATCGTCTCCCCAACCTGGATATTAGGAACAATATCACAGAGGGGAGGACACCCCCTGGAATATTCACAGTAATATCATCGTTTCATTTCCTGGATATTAGGAACAATATCACAAGGGGGGTGTAAATCCCCTGTGATATTGGGAGTAATATTATCCGCTTCCCCCTGGATATTAGGAACAACATCACAAGAGGGGTGTACACCCTTTGTGATTTTGGAAGTAATATCATCCTCTTCCACCCTGGATATTAGGAACAATATCACAGGGAGGGTGTACATTCACCTGAGATATTGAGAGTAATATCATCCTTTCCCCCATGGGAATTAGGAACAATATCACGACAGGTGTGTACACCCCCTGTGATACTGGGAATAATACTATTTCACCTCCCCCGGATGTTAGGAACAATATCACAAGAGGAGGGTGTACAACCCCTGAGATATTGGGAGCAATATCATCCTTCCGTTTCCTGACTATTAGAAACAATATCATGGGCGGGGGACGCTCCCTTTGATATTAAGGGTAATATCATTCTCTTTCTTCCTGGATATTAGGAACAATATCACAGGGTGAATGTACACCCCTTGCAATATTGGGAGTAATATCATCCTCTCCTTTTCTGGATATTAGGAACAATATCACGGGGGGGTGTACACCTTCTGCAATAGTGGTAGTAATATCATCTTTTACCCTAGATATTAGCAACAATGTAACAAGGAAGGTGTACACCTACTGCAATGTTGAAAATAATATTATCCTCTCTTTTTCTAGATATTACGAACAATATTGCAGGGAAGGTGTACATCCCCTGTGACATTGGGAGTAATATCATCCTCTCCCATCCAGGATATTAGGAACAACATCACTGGTGGGGTGTAAACCCCCTGCGATATTGGGAGTAATATCATCCTCTCCCTTCCTAGATATCAGAAACAATATAACAGGAAGGGTGTACACCTCATGCGATATTGGGAGTAATATCATCCTCTCTCCCTTTGGATATTATGAGGAACATCCCAGAGGGTTTACATACAGGGTGTTTAAGATATTGAGAGTAATATCATCCTCTCCATAACTGGATCTTTTGAGCAATATCACAGAAGGGTGTACACTTCCTGTGACATTGAGAGTAATATTATTCTTCCCCTTACGGATATTACAAATAATATCACAGGTTGGTGTACACTCTGTGATATTGGGAGTAATATCATTCTCTCCCCCTCCCCGGATATTATAAACAATATTACAGTGGGGTGTACACTCCCTGTGATATTAAGAGTAATATCATCTCCCCTCCTGTGTATTGGGAACATTATCACAGAGGGGCACGTCCCCTAAGATATTAGGAGTAATACAATTCTCTCCCCCCCAGATATTATAAAAAATATCACAGAGGCTGTACACTCAGGGTGTTTAGAGTATTGGGAATAATATCATCCTCTCCCTCTCCCTGGATATTATAATGAAGAGATAACATCCATTACTGCTGCTACAGTGGAGGTACAACTGGTGGTGTTCACATTAGTTTCCTGCCATCTGCCATCATCCTTCTGGATTTTGAAGATACCAGACTGGTGAATTCCATGAAAGAGATGACCGGACCAACAGCACTGGTCCTTGAGTTTTTGATGGTGGTGATCATCTCTGCCATCTATATACAAGAAATAATTTGCCTTGGGAGTTGATACTGATTTTTATTGATTATATTGTCTTGGGTGAGCATTGACAGATTTAGGCTTCCCATCTGCAATTGTTTTTTTCCTAGAATTATAAGTCATATCTCACAGGCCACAGAAACACTGTATTTTTGCCTTTTCTAAGTCTATGACTCCTGATTGTACATGAGATCCTGGGAACATAACTATAGAGGAGAGAGGTTCATGAACAGAGTGCACACACTTAGAGGCAGAAGTTGGCAAGGAATACATCAGTTTCCTGACCATCGCCCTAGGCCATTACTCTAACAGGGGTCATGGTGATGTTTCCAAACCATGGGTTTTATGCCAACAAGACCTTCATGGCCAAGAGCTTCTGAAAGATAACAATACTCACCTTTGTTCAGTGCTCATTTACTTAAGCAAATGATTGTAGGTCTTTTCCAAGGGAAACTGGAGAATCCCAAAGTTGTAAGCTTCCCTTGGTTTTGCATGAACCTGCCTCATGAGAACCCAGTCTCTTTGGGTTAGGCCTTCTTGTGTGAGAACTGTCTCAGGTTTTACCTGGATGAAGTATGATGACTTTATATGAGGGCTGCTGACATCTGCTTTCTGTTCATCTTGATGACTTCTATTTCTTGTTAGTGAAGGGACATAGTTGTCTGCCATTTGTATCTGTTGTCCCTAATGAAACCTATTCTAAGAGGTAAGTGCTAGATATTGCAAAGCAGTCCTCCCTTGACGCACTCTAGCACTGGTGCCAGCTTCTTATACCCACCTTGCATTGATGGCAAAGTGCTGGCCTCTGCCATTCCCACATCTTCTCACCACTTCGGTGCTATGAATGGAGCCCATCTCTGTAACAGTGTGGCCTGCTTTGAGCTCTGACCTATGAAGAATGTCCAGCACTTGCGTCTCAGCGATGCTGGTGTCCCTCTCACTGGTCATAGGCAGTCTTTTTTTTTTTTTTGAGATGATGTTTTGGTATTGTTGCCCATGCTGGAGTTTAGTAGTGCGATTGGGGCTCACTGCCACCTCCGCCTCCTAGGTTCAAGTGATTCTCCTGCCTCAGTCTCCGGAGTAGCTGTGATTACAGGCATCTAGTATAACACTTGTCTTTTTTTTTTTTTTTTTTTTTTTTTTTTGGTATTTTTAGTAGAGACAGGGTTTCACTATGTTGGCCAGGCTGGTCTCAAACTCCTGACCTCAGGTGATCCACCCACTTTGGATTCCCAAAGTGCTGGAATTACAGGCATGAGCCACCCTGCCTGGCCATTGTGGGCAGTCTTAAGGATCATAGTCAGCTCCTGGTTCTTCTTCTATACTAGACCCTATCCAGGATGCCACTGATCGAGTTAGGATCTGTGTCCCCAGTCACACCTCACGTGAAATTGTAATCCTCAGTGGTGGAGGTGGGGCTGGTTGGACTTTGGTGAGAATTGAGAGGATCATGGGGGTGGATATTTCATGAATAATTTAGCACCATACTGCAGGTGTTGCCTGGTGATAGAGTTCTAAAAATATCTGGTTGTTTGAAAGTGTGTAGCACCTCTCCTACCACTTTCTCCAGCTCAGGCCATGGAAGATGAGCCTGATTCCCTTGTACTTTTTGCCATTACTCTAAGTTTTCTGACGCTTCCCCAGAACTTGAGGTGATGGCCAGCATCATGATTTTTGTACAGCCTGTGGAACCATGAGCCAATTAAACCTGAGTTTTTATAAATAATTACCCAGCCTCAGGTAACTATTTATAGCAATGCGTGAACAGACTAATACATGCACTTCTGAACCATGTTATTCTTTACCCCAAAGCTATACATCCGTACAATTCTGTTCTGATCCTAACCACGCGCAGTGAGCCCACACTCCTCTGGTTCTGGGCAAATTTTTCCACCAGCCTAACCTCACATCCAACGCTAGCCCCAATTTCGCGATCTCAGGCCACTCACACTACTCTAAAACTTGCCGCAAATTCAAAAGCTCTCATCACTCTCAGGATGACTATTCAGTTAGCATCACTCATGGAACTAAAACAAATCACTAGGGTGGGGATCAGATCCCGGCATTTATGGAGTGACTACAGTCCAGAAATGTGAAGAAACCTGAGGAGGGGACTCTGAGGGCTTGAAAGGCCTTGCCGAGTGTGGAGCCCTGAAGTGCACAGATCACTTTTTTGTCCCTTGGGGCCTGGGAACCCTGCGGAGTGCGGAGTCTCTAGAGCAGAATCCATGAGGCTGGGGAGGTGGATTTCAGGCCAGAAACCTTCAGGGACCTGGAGTCCCAAAACATGCTAAAAACAGGGGTAGGGGCACAGATCCGAAAGATTTTGGAGTACTTGGAGGCCATTAGAGAAACGTGAAGGTGGCAGCGTGGAGTGCTCAGAAGATGGCGGAGACGGCGGAGCCCGAAAAATCCAGAAAAAGAGGCGGGGACAGGGGATGGGGGCTCAAAAGCATTCACAGTGCACAGGGCCCCTCCAAGGCCGCTTTCACACTGCCAGGGCTTCATCTACAGCTGCAGAACTGCACTTTTCCTCTGTCCCAACCAAAATATGTCCCTTGAAGGTCTCATCCCCCATGGACTGGATCTGGGCCTCATTTATTCAGGGGTCTCAGTCCTCAAGGAGGCCATTGTCACTCTGCTTCCTGATAGAGTCGTCTTAAATTAGTAAATGCCCCTCAAGGCACCCACGGTTTGTCCTTATTCCTCCCTGAATCTTCTCCTTCTGAGGGAGGAAGTTCTCAAACACCCCCAGAATTTACTTACTGAATTTCACCCTCTGAAACCTCCTCCTTCCCTAGACCCAGTCCAGCTCCTCATCCTCAGCCCCCCAGACCCCATGGAGGTGTCCCCTGCAATGGATTCTTTTCTAGCTTGACGGCCTCCCCTTCTCAGCGCACAACCCAGAGACTCACCCTGTCCTGAGCAGCGACCCACTGCATAAACAACCATGAGACCTCATTCTATACAAATAACACTTTATTTTTTTAGTGTTGATGCTTTTGTTTCTCGGGGGAAAGAGAGGAGCTCCGGAGAGAACGGTAATCAAAATTTCCTGGTGGTTGTTTAAACACCAAAGCCGAGTAGTTCCAGAAACTCTTCCGGATCACCCTCTTCATCCTAAAATTAAAGGAAACATGCAAGACTCATTTTCTGATAAGGTTTCCGACAATTGTGCAAATATCGTGCTATATTTATGAACGGAAAGTAAACCTTACCTGTGCCGCTTGTCCAGGCATCATCTTCTTCAGGAAACGTAAGATGTTTGGAAGTGTTTCAGAAGCAAGGGAAGCTATTTTGTTCAATATATAGAAGAGCATCTTCTTGATTAGAACCTTCAACCCAGCGATTAAGAGTCTCATTACTAGTTTTGAGACATATGTCATTAATTGGTCAGCAAACCATTTTTCTATCTCATCCATCAGAAAATCGACCACTTTATCCACTAGCGTTTCCATGGCCGCTTTCGTTATACGTGAAGTAAATGAGCCCATGAAAAGTGTAATGAGCGCGCTGCTGGGTTAGGGTAAAGATATATAATGGTGTCATTCCTGGAGAGGGGGGCCATTTTACAGAAGGTGACGTGGAAGAGGGGGGCCAAGATGGCCAATTAGAAGTGGCCATTTTGTAGGAAGTGACGTGGAGGAAGTGGCCGAGATGGCCAATTAGAAGTGCAGAGGTGACATGGAGGGGACGGCCAAGATGGCGAATAAGAAGCGGCTGCCTTCCCCTGAATGAAAATCGCAGCGAATTTCACCATTAGCGCCTGAACTGAAATATTTAGGTTCTCACATTGGGACTGACTAGGCAAACAACTTGACTCAGGAGAACAAAGAAAACGGGGGTGGGTGATGAACCACGCCATATCAGAACAGCCAAAGGAACTTTCTCGCACAGCCAAGGGAAGCAGTGAGTGTGTGACCCCGCCCCAGAAGCCATGTTTTTCCCATGGATCTTTGCAACCAATTAATCAGGAGATTCTCACATGAGCTGATGTCACAACTCTCGTGAGTTGGCAGAGCAGTCGCTCAGACAGACTCAGACCCAGGAGGTTTACACAATCCAGCCTTGAGAAACCAGGAAAGGCAGGAGTTCCGTTGGTACATTCCCCCAGGAAGGGGGCTGAATTCAGGTGTCATAGGAGTCGTTAAGAAGTTATTTTAGGCAGACAGGGAGGAAAAGGGGTCCATAGGAAGTTTTGTTTCTTTTTAAGCAGCTCCAGAAATGGGTCTTGTCTAGCAGGAAAGCCCGACTTTTAGAGTTCTCCAGTAACCTTGATCTGCAAATTCCGGCCATTAGAAACTGAATCCACCCAAACATGGCGATTCCCGCCCTTTTCTGACCCTTGCCCCCACGTGTGCCTGGCAATATAGCCACCCCCACATATCCCCATGTGTGTAGGAAATCAGGGTGACTGGAAAGTGCCTATTCACAGGATAGGGTGGGAGGGCCAGTTTTTTTGTGGGCTACATAAATGACATGCCTGGTCAAACCAATCCCCTGAACCCTATGCAAATCAGACACCACCTCTTCCAGTTTCTTCATATAACTCATTGGTATCCACAGCACTCCGGGTTTCCTCTTTTGGCTTTGGAGCCACCCTCCCTCTGTCTCAGTATGGGGTGCTCTTCCTTTTTTCTTGCCTATTAAACTGCATGACTAAATTCGGTGTTGTTGGAACATATCTCAAAATAATAAGAGCTATTTATGACAAACCCACAGCCAATATCATACAGAATGGGCAAAAACTGGAAGCATTCCCTTTGAAAACAGGCACAAGACAGGGATGCCCTCTCTCACCACTCCTATTCAACATAGTGTTGGAAGTTCTGGCTAGGGCAATCAGGCCAGAGAAAGAAATAAAGGGTATTCAGTTAGGAAAAGAAGAAGTCAAATTGTCCCTGTTTGCAGACGACATGATTGTATCTTTAGAAAACCCATTGTCGCAGCCCAAAATCTCCTTAAGCTGATAAGCAACTTCAGCAAAGTCTCAGGATAGAAAATCAATGTGCAAAAATCACAAGCATTCTTATACACCAGTAACAGACAAACAGAGAGCCAAATCATGAATGAACTCCCATTCACAATAGCTTCAAAGAGAATAAAATACCTAGGAATCCAACTTACAAGGGATGTAAAGGACCTCTTCAAGGAGAACTACAAACCATTGCTCAGTGAAATAAAAGAGGACACAAACAAGTGGAAGAACATTCCATGCTCATGGATAGGAAGAATCAACATTGTGAAAATGGTCATACTGCCCAAAGTAATTTATAGATTCAGTGCCATCCCCATCAAGCTACCAATGACTTTCTTCACAGAATTGGAAAAAACTGCTTTAAAGTTCATATGGAACCAAAAAAGAGCCTGCATTGCCAAGACAATCCTAAGCAAAAAGAACAAAGCTGGAGGCATCACGCTACCTGACTTCAAACTATACTACAAGGCTACAGTAACCAAAACAGCATGATACTGGTACCAAAACAGAGATATAGACCAATGGAACAGAACAGAGCCCTCAGAAATAATACTACACATCTACAGCCATCTGATCTTTGACAAATCTGACAAAAACAAGAAATGGGGAAAGGATTCCCTGTTTAATAAATGGTGCTGGGAAAATTGGCTAGCCATAAGTAGAAAGCTGAAACTGGATCCTTTCCTTACTCCTTATACAAAAATTAATTCAAGATGGATTAGAGACTTAAATGTTAGACCTAAAACCATAAAAACCCTAGAAGAAAACCTAGGTAATACGATTCTGGACATAGGCATGGGCAAGGACTTCATGTCTAAAACACCAAAAGCAATGGCAACAAAAACCAAAATTGACAAATGGGATCTAATTAAACTAAAGAGCTTCTGCAGAGCAAAAGAAACTACCATCAGAGTGAACAGGCAACCTGCAGAATGGGAGAAAATTTTTGCAATCTACTCATCTGACAAAGGGCTAATATTCAGAATCTATATAGAACTCAATCAAATTTACAAGAAAAAAACAACCCCATCAAAAGTGGACAAAGGATATGAATAGACACTTCTCAAAAGAAGACATTCATACAGCCAACAGACACATGAAGAAATGCTCATCATCACTGGCCATCAGAGAAATGCAAATCAAAACCACAATGAGACACCATCTCACACCAGTTAGAATGGCAATCATAAAAATCAGGAAACTAACATCAAGGTTAGAATGGCAAGGATCAAAAATCAGAAAAAGATCAGGAAACAACCAGGTGCTGGAGAGGATGTGGGAGACGAATAGGAAACACTTTTACACTGTTGGGACTGTAAACTAGTTCAACCATTGTGGAAAACAGTGTGGTGATTCCTCAAGGATCTAGAACTAGAAATACCATTTGACCCAGTCATCCCATTACTGAGGATATACTCAAAGGATTATAAGTCACGCTGCTGTAAAGACACATGCACACATATGTTTATTGCTGCACTATTCACAATAGCAAAGACTTGGAATCAATCCAAATGTCCATCAGTGACAGACTGGATTAAGAAAATGTGGCACATATACACCATGGAATACTATGCAGCCATTTAAAAGGATGAGTTCATGTCCTTTGTAGGGACATGGATGCAACTGGAAACCATCATTCTCAGCAAACTATCACAAGAACAGAAAACCAAATACCGCATGTTCTCGCTCAAAGGTGGGAATTGAACAATGAGATCACTTGGACACAGGAAGCATCACACAGGGAGCATCACACAGGGAGATGCACACAGGGAGCATCACACACCAGGTCCTATCATGGGGAGTGGGGAGGGAGGAGGGATAGTATTAGGAGATATACCTAATGTAACTGATGAGTTAATGGGTGCAGCACACCAACATAGCACGTGTATATATACGTAACAAACCTGCACGTTGTGCACATGTACCCTAGAACTTAAAGTATAATAATAATAATAATAATAATAAAAACAACCACTGTATATGTGTTTGTGTCATTTTCTCCAATTCGGTGTGAGACATGAGCCCTGGTGGTCCTCCACTCATCACAGCCATATCACAGGGAGCGAGAGAGCTTCATCCTGTGGTCCCCACCTTCACAGCATTTCTCAAGTCCCACTGGCTTGGAATACCAGCCAAGCAGTGGCAAGATACCAAGCCAAGTGCCTGAGACTACCGAGTTCTGGGTCGTTGGGGCGGCCACCATCTCTGTTTCCGTGGACTCAGATAATCTAGCCTTCGGGCTCCAGGGAGTCCAGCTGGTCTGGAGCAGGAGGGCTCCCCCACAAGGCAGCACTGCTGCTGTGCCTGACAGTGGCCAGACTGTTTCTTTAAATTTGACCTTGATTCATCCCCCCTCACTGGGAAGGTCCTCTCTGTTGGAATTCCAGGAAGTCCAGCCAGGGTTACAGGGTTGGTGGGAAGCCTGATCTCTTTCTGGGTTGGAGGTCCTCCGGGGATGGGCAGCTGCCATCTTTGTAATTGTGGACTCAGCCTTTTCAGCTGAAGCAAATGAACAAATCTGGGAGAGTCACGTTTCCTAACTTTAAAATATGTGACAAAGCCATAGTCACCAATACAGCATGGTACAAGTATAAATGTAGACACACAGATTGATGTAACAGACGAGAGAACCCAGAATGAAAGTCACACATTTACAGACAACTGATCTTTGACAAAGTTGACAAGAATATACACTGGGGAAAGCACACCCTTTTCAGTAATTGGTACTTGGACAATTGCATTGTCATACGCAGAAGAATAAATCTGAACTCCTATTTCTTACCATGTTTACAAAAATCAATTTAAAGTGAATTGTAGACTTTAATGTATGTACTGAAATGGTAAAAATGTGAGAAGAAACTTAGGGAAAACTCTTCTGGTCATTGTCTAGTAAGGAGTTCATGAGTAAGACTTTAAAAGTGCAGGCAACAAAACAAAAAATAGGCCAATGGAAATTTAAACCAAACTAAAATTTTAATTAGATTCAAAAGCCATACACCATTTTTCTATCTCATCCTAAGAAAATGGACCACGTCATCCACTAGCATTTCCATGGCACGTTCATTATAGGTGAAGTAAGTGAGCCCATGATAAGTGAAATGAGCCTTCTGTTTGTTTCAGGTGAAGTTAAGTAATGGATATTCCTGGAGAGGCAGGCATTTTATAGAAAGTGACTTGAAGGGGAGAGGCCAAGGTGGCCAATTAGAAGCAGCTGCCTTCCACTGAATGAAAAGTGTGGTGAATTCAGCACTTTGAACTGAAATATCCAGGTTCCTACACTGGGACTGACTAGGCAAACTAGTTGACCCAGGAAAAGAAACAAAGGGGGTGGGTGATTACGCACCTGGTATCTGCACAGAGCAAAAGAAACCTTGACCTACAGCCAAGAGAAGCAGCGAGTGAGTGCACGACCCCTACCCGCAAACCATGCTTCTCCCATGCATCTTTGCAACACATGGATCAGGAGATCCTCCCATTAGCTCATGCCATAAGGGTCTGTCTTGGGACAGATACACAGAGCCATGTAGAATGTTGCCAGAACAGCCGCTCAGAGACTCAGAGAGACATAGGAGTTTTATATACTCTGGCCTTGGAAAGCCAGGCAAGGCGGGAGTTCCAACTGTACATTCCCTTAGGAAAGGAGCTCAATCCAGGGAGCCAAGGAGCCTCATTCTGTGGGCCCCACTTCCATGGCACCTCTCAAGTTAAGACCCACTGGCTTGGAATACCAGCCAACCAGTGGTAATAGGCTGGAGACTGTCTGAGACTACAGTTTTCTGGGGAGGTGAGGGCAGCCTCCAGTTCTGTGTTTCCAAGGACTCAGACACTCTAGCCTGCAGGCTCCAGGGAGTCCAGGTGGTCTGGTCCCCCACAAGGTAGCATAGCTGCTGCGCCTGATTGTGGCCAGAGAGATTCCTTAAGTGGGACCCTGATTCATCCCTCCTCACTGGGTAGAGCCTCCCTTTGGGTATTTCAGGAACTCCAGATGTGGTTATATGGTCAGTATGGTCAGTGGGAATCGTGATCTTTTTCTGGAAGGAGCTCCTGCGAGGAGGGGGAGCTGCTGCGAGGAGGGGCAGCTTCATCTCTGCAGTTGTCGACTCAGCCTTTCCGAAGCAAATAAACACAGCTGGGAGCATCACATTTCTTGACTTCAAACTGTATTCCAAAGCCATCGTCACCAACACAGCATGGTAGTAGTATAAAAATAGACACATGGATTGATGTAACAAACTAGAAAGCCCAGGAAGAAAGCCACACATTTATAGCCAAATGATCTTTGACAAAGCTGATAAGAATATACATTGGGGAAAGCACATCATTTTCAATAATTGGTGCTGGTACAATTGAATTGTCATATGCAGAAGAATAAAACTGGACTCCTCTTTCTCACAATATTTACAAAGATCAATAGAAGATGAATTATAGACTTAAATATATATACTGAAATAATAAAAATATGAGAAGAAACCTAGAGAAAACTCTTCTGGTTATTGTCTAGTAAAGAGTTCAAGAGTAAGACTTCAAAAGTAAAGACAACAAAACCGAAAATAGACCAATGCAAATTTAAACCAAACTGAACATTTTAATTCTATAAATTCAAAAGCTTTACTGAAACAAAAAGCTGCTGCACAGCCAAAGAAATAATCCTCTCAACAGAGTGAACAGACCAACCGCAGAATGGGATAAATTATTTGTAAACTTTTCCTTTGACAAAGGACTAATACCCAGAGTAAACAACAGAAAATTCCAAAGAATCCCATTAAAAAGTGGGCAAAGGACA